TTTTATTAACACTGTTATATATACATATATAACGATAACTACGTAACGGTTACTTTCTAACCTTGATAATATATTATGTTAACGTAAAAAATAGCAATATAAAAAAGATTAGGAACTTCTAAAATATTTAACATAAACATATTATATTAATCAAAGGTAATGTATATTTATTTCTTTAAACAAATTTAGACATATAAAGAGAAAAACAAAAACATTCTATTGTTTAATCTGAAGTTTATTTGTAGGCTTATTACAAAAAAATGGCGAAAATGTATCTGTAGGCTCATCACAAAAAAATGGCGAAAATGAATCATTACAAAGAAATGCCGAAAATATATTTGTAGGATCATCACAAAGACAAAACGACAATATATTTGTAGGCTCATCACAAGAAGGTGTCTTCAATATTGCACAACGTAATAGTAATTTAAATACTTCAAACAAAAACATGTAACATTTATAAATGTATTTTGATATTTTGCAGGAAATGTTTCTATAACTGAAGAAAATATCAATCACATACCTGTAATATTGGACAATGAAGATAATTTATTTACTTTGATAAATGATCTTAAACTGATGATAATAGACATTCAAGATGAAGTTAAAAATATTAAGGAAAAGCAAGATCAATCATTGATCCAAATTCAGGAAACCATCAATTTGATCTTGGCAAAAATAAACAGTGAGCAATATCATAAAGAAAACTTGATAGTACCAGATAATAAGATCGGGGAATACCTTCCCTTGACTTCCATTGAAAATTTTCCTCAATTTGAGACTGTGATAAAAGATGATCAAAGAAGCTTTTATGCAAGTAGTAAGTAAATTAAAACTGCTTATTATAATTATTCAATTTACATTAAAATTTACAATTAACATTTCCAGCGTCTTTTATAACTTACTAATACTATATTTAGAGCCTTAAAATTCTTTTCTTATTATTTCTATACATTAGTAAACTTCTATTATAAAAATGTTTTTATAAGAATAAAATTTTCAGGTAAACAAAGTAATATTAATTGGAGGCAAAAATGAAAAAGATTTTATAAAAAGAAGTTTGAATGTAATATTTTCCAACGATTTAGCCTCAATGTGTTCATGGACAGGTCAAAAAAATAATTTTAAAATTGGGGATACGCATACTATACAGGGCCTTAAAAGTAAGTTTTTTATATGATACATATATTACTTGTAGTATATTTAGTCTATATTTCATATATCAGACTTTATAACAATTAAGACTCTTAATTTCTTAAGATAATCATCTTGGGTAATCTAAAAGTCTAAACTAAATCAATCTAAAAGTATTTCCTTATTTACAAATAAACACTATTTTTTGTCCTTTTATTTAAAGTGAATTTTATATTTTAGAGGCCTTTAGAGCAGTATTTCCTCGTAATACAGACAAAGAATTTGAACATTGCGTGATGGAATGGTTCAGATTTGCAAACGTTCGCAAACAAAAAAAAGCATCTTAAATAGGTATAGATAAGATAATGTATTCTGGTGTGTAGTGATACTCTAATCCACTAGATAATGTCACTACAATAAGTTTATGTAAATCTTTACAGAAAACAAAATATTTGTCTCCGAGAGTCGCGCCAGGTCATCCGTCATTCCTGGTTTTGGTGTAATCAATGAAGCCGCTAAAGGATATTTATCATCCTGAGAACACTGTTAAGTTTCTTTCTCCCCTTACTTTCTAACTTGTATAAAAGTATCCGGATTTATTAATTTAAATATACAAAATTAATATTATAATTAATATTAATGATATATATAAGGATGAGATATTAATTTTTTTCGTTATGCTTATTGACATCAGAAACATGAAACGCATGAGAGATTATCAGAATAAAAATTGATTTAATTTTGTAGAGATAATTTGATATGTTCTTTTAGTTCGTAATCATAATTACTAATGTTTTGCAATAGTATGTCATTTTTTTACGTAATTTGTTTTTTTTAACTACTATATAAAACTTGGGTATATCTTTCAAATACAAAAAAGTTAGAAAATAGTAAAACTTATGTATAACTTTTAATGTTTGTAACTGACACATTTTGATAAAAATAAAATTTTTATTTATATGACATTAATTTGTAAATTATTTTCAAATACGTATATAATATAAATTAATTTTAAGAAAAATAATATAAAAATAAATATATATTAGGTGTTTTGTAAAAACCATAATAACGCTTAGGGATAGATTCCCAAGATCATTTTAAGACGAAATAATCTTAATACCAAAATATGAGGCTTAAAATAGTTATTGAATTATAATTATTAATGTAAAAATTATTATAGCCTTTACATTTTGGTGTATATTAAAATTATTTTGTCTTAAAATCTTTTTAAAAGGATACTCTTAAGCGTTGTTATGATTTTTATGGAATATCCTGTATATTAAACATATATTTAACATGTATTTAAACATTCTAATGCTATTAAAAAATTATTGAAAATATGTTGCTTATAAAGAAACAAAATATTAATAATAACATTACGTAAACGTTAGAATTAATGTTATTAGAATGTTAATTTAACGTTACTACAAAATTGACAACACATTTTAATTTAATCATTTTATTAATATTATTTTAGAAACATTATATCAA